CCGCCGAAGTTGCGGTCAATGCCGAAGGTGGTATCGATGTTTGGCCAAGAAATGTGAACAAAGATTTCGCGCTTGGCCGTGACGCCTGGCCGAAAGTAGCTCGGATCCTCCCGTGGGGTCCGAATGCGAGTTCCACAACGCTCCGGACATTCATGGTCTGCCCGATTTTATCATACAACCAACTATGCTAAGGGCAAGTCTCGCGTCTCGTTGTTGAGTCGCTCCACTTGCTCGTTCTGGAAGCCTTTCGCTCTGGTTGGGGAGTCAAAGCAATTTCAAAACCAATGCTGTGCACAAGCCGCAGACACCAGAGCGACTTCCTCACGTCCGTGCGCAAGCTTGCCATCGCTCTGAGGAGGTCGCGCGTGCCGGCACTGTACACAGGCATGTTGGAAATGGGTGGTGTCTGTGCTTCTGGGCCCACCACGACGCGTGATGTCCCTGATGCGCGCCCTTCGGCGAGAGTATCGCCAGTAAGTATCCTTCAAGAGTTCTATCGCCACCATGCTATGAAGGACGTGCTTGAACGAGTCCGTCAATGCGTCGATTCTGCGGAGGTGGAGGCCGCAGGAAGCAGGGAGCTGTTTCATTTCACGCGCCTAGCGTGGCGCATGTTGACCGGCTCGTGCGATTGAGGGGACTATTTCTGGGGATTGTCTTCGACCGATTGTGGGCAGCAGTTGTTGTCTACCTCCCGCCCTGATTGATCTGAGCACGCGTGTTTGTTCCCACTGTGTGTTTTCTTGCTGTGCTTCTGCGCATTTGTGTCTGTAGCCGTTCTGGCTCGACGGCATCGTTTAGATGTGGCAGAGCAGCAGGTAATACACTTTAAACCCGATGGCGGCCTCTCCAAACGTGGCCTCGGGCCTTAAGCGGTGATGGGAGTGTATTGTTGCTCATATTAGATTGTTCTCGCAACCTTTGTCTTGTTCTCTGCCCCTGGAGCCTCACGAGGTGGAAAATCAGACATCGAGTGGGTCATTTATCCTTCATAATTGCTTACGCAATCCGCCAATCTATCAACGGGAGGGGGGGGAGGAGGAGGAGGAGGGGGGGGGGGGGGGGGGAAGGGGAAGGGGGGGGGGGGAGGGGGGAGGAGGACCAGCGCACGGTTGGGTGATGGGTGCGGAGACGGAGGCGGCGGCCGCGGCGCGCGGCGACAAGCAGCACGATGCTACAGCTTCCCCGCAGGGTTTTCAGACCACGAAGACACTGCCAGCCCGCAGGGCGGATGCGCAAGGGCTCTGTGTATCTTCTGCGTCTTTGTAGCGGCCAGTAGTTTGATAGTAATGGTGTCGACATTGGCAGTCAAGCACCGATCGAACACCTTTTACTTCTGGGCATACTTGGGATTGAAGACGTGTTGCTGGCAACGTCTCTCTATGGCATCATTCCCGTAGTCATCGAAGTCATCAAAGGCTTGCCATTGTCAGTCTATGCCGAGGTAAATCCAGAGGGGCACCTTCTCATCAGCATACTCCTTGATGCACGCTCGGGTTCTGTCTCCGCGGGGCCTTCTCTTCGAAGTTATGTTTGCGTTTCTCCTCCAACAGGGTGTCAGGCTTGGCGGGGCCGTATTTCTCGACCATCGGCGGCACAAACTGCTACTCCGTGGTCGAGTGGTTGGCGCCTTCCTCCTCGAAGTATTATTTGAGCTTCTCCTCCCGCTGGATGTCGAAAGTGATGCAGTCAGGATCCTCGAGTGTCGGCGACGCGCTCTGGTAGTCCTTGGTCGAGAGGTCAATGCCCCCATCTTCGATGGTGTTCGGCAGCACTGGTGCCTTCTGGGGATCGGCCGTCTGAGGCCACAGCGCGAGGAACTCCGCGATTGCGAGGGCATGATCCTCGGGCGGAAGGTCGCGCGTGAACGTGAGCTGAGGGTGTTGCTCGAGCACCTCCTGGTAGGCGGCGCCCATCTCCTCGAAGTTATCTGAGTTCTTCTCCTCCTGCAGGGTGTCGCACGTGTCGAGGCAGCAGTTGCAAGAACGGTGCCAGCGTAGTCGAGGGGTCCTCGTCCTCCAGGTGAAGGGCTCGATCCTGAGGCGGAAGGATGCGCGTAAACGTGAGTGGGGGATACTGCATGAACACCACCTCGTAGGCGGTGCTGCCATCCTCGAAGCTCTCTGCGACCCTCTCGCACAGGGTGCACATGTCGAGGCTCTAGTTCTCGGCGGTCGGCGAAGCGAACTGTGCGTCCATCGTCGAGAGGCCCTTCTCTATGTGCACGTTAAGCATCTCCTCATTGAGAAACCGATCTTCTGGACAGGTGGTTGCACCGTCGCCAGGACCTGCAGCAGCTCGTCCGTGACCGTCTCGCAGCAGCCGGAGTCGCTGCAGTGCAGACTGGCAGGCGGTCCTGCCGTCATGTCGGGTGTTGTTAGAAGTGCCTCTGGCCCCAGATACCCCGAGGATTTTCGGGGTGGCCCAGACGGCCTCCAGGGCACCTCACGAGGCCCAGAGGGCCCCAGGGTCTCCAAGGTGGAGCGAAAAGCTGGGGGCA